GAGAGAGAGAGAGAGAGAGAGAGAGAGAGAGAGAGAGAGAGAGAGAGAGAGAGAGAGAGAGAGAGAGAGCTGACAGTGCTGCCAGTCTGAAAACTGACATTCTGAATTGAACTGCAAAGTTCAAACTTTTAAGTTATATATGAAGAGAGAGAGCTCTGACAGTGCTGCCAGTCTGAAGACTGACATTCTGAATTGAACTGCAAAGTTCAAACTTTCAAGTTATATATGAAGAGAGAGAGAGAGAGAGAGAGAGAGAGAGAGAGAGAGAGAGAGAGAGAGAGAGAGAGAGAGAGAGAGAGAGGGGGGGGGGGGGGTGGGTGTGTCTCTACATGTGTATGTGTCTGTGTGTGACTGTGTGTGTTTGTCTATGTGTGTCTGTGTGTGTGTCTGTGTGTGTGTCTGTGTATCTGGGTATGTCTGTGTGTGTCTCTGTGTGTCTGTCTGTGTGTCTGTGTGCATATGTGTGTGTGTGTGTGTGTGTGTGTGTCTCTGCGTGTGTATGTGTCTGTGTGTGTCTGTGTGTGTCCGTGTCAGTGTATGTCCGTATGTCTGTGTCTGTGTCTGTATCTGTGTATGTGTATGTCCGTGTCCGTGTATGTGTTCGTGTATGTCCGTGTCTGTATATGTATGTGTATGTCCGTGTCTGTGTATGTATGTGTATGTGTCCGTGTCCGTGTATGTATCAGTGTATGTCTGTGTCTGTGTCTGTCTGTATCTGTGTATATATGTGTATGTCTGTATCCGTGTATGTATCTGTGTATATATCTGTGTCCGTGTATGTGTGTGTCTGTGTTTGTGTCTATGTCTGTGTCAGTGTATGTCCATGTGTCTGTGTCTGTGTCTGTATCTGTGTATGTGTATGTTCGTGTGTCATACCAACGCCATGGAATGTCTCAAACATGGGAAGTTTGACAGTCACTTCCCGTCACCACCGCAGACGTCATTAATGTGTTTTAGTTGGGAGTGTGCACGTTGTAGGGACAAGAAAATAAACAGAGGGAGAGCAGGACATGGGATATAGGAGCAAGAGAGTGAGGGCAAGCTTGAGTTTCAAGGTACGCAGGAAACGATACCTTCCTCGATGAAAGCAACGGTGTACACTGTACACTAAGTGCTTGGGAAGATGCAGATTTTGGTTCGACAATTCTGCTTCGGTGGTTCAACCGTGCGGCGCATAAGACAACAAAAACAGACAGAGAATTAGTGAACAGTGTGTCACACACACTCACACAAACTCTAAGACACACACAGACTCTCGGTTATTGATGTGTTATGAGCATCATTATAACCAGTATCCAATAAGACAGTCAAGAGTTCATGGATTCAATGCTCAACAAAGTACCACGTCCCCTTCGTTACCAGAAGTTATCTGCCCGGCGCTGTCTGGGCTCATCATCAACAACACGAATCATGTTGGAATCGTAAGAAGAAGTCATCTCCACATATTCTCTTTGTTGTGTATCTCACAATGGCAGAAGTCTTCACACCATGAAAACATCAGTGTGTTCACAACATGCATCGTCAACAACCAGAATGAGCACAAGTCTTCACCGTTATGAACTTGGTTGCCTGACGAATTTTATCGCCACTCACACACAGACAATCTCACACATGCCCATACATGCATAAGAGAAGGGGAGAGAGGAGACAGAGTCCACACTGCACACAGGTGAAAATAAGCAGCGGAAGACAGGCATGCACATGTGGAGAGACGACACGCAGTGTTTCTCACTCTCTGACACAACTCCCAACAACCAATCACAAGAAAGAGCCTGCGAAGATCACAATTGGAAAGGTCACTGATGATGAGAAACTCATACAATTATCGTAACAGAGTTTGTTCCAGTATGTCGCCACACTCAGTACTCACACCCCACTCTCTATCCTACACCCAGTTAGTAGCGCTGCATCAGAACAGCCTCCCAGAGGCCAGCGCCAACCACCCTGATGAAGAACAGGTCCTGCGATGAAGTCTTTAGTGCCGATGGACAACTCTAACGAAGGAACAGGCAGCTATGGCTGCCACCACCCAACGAACCACCACTCTAGAGCCTCGATCCAGCCGGCCAAAAGTGCTCACCCGGTGGGCCTATCCTATCTATCTACTCTATAGACCTAGACCGGACTGACTGACCAACCGGTACCGTTGCTACTTCGGCTTCTCGGCCTCTACCGGACCCAGCTATAGGCTATAGGACCGTCTACCAGAATAGGCCATATAGGGCCTGTCTGTCGTAGGGGTAGCCCGGGCCTGCTATAGGCAGTCAGGGTAGCTGTACGAATTCGGTTAGTACCTGGCCTGTATTTTTCCGGATATACAGATCTGTGCCTCACGAATTTCCTCACAGGCAGGTTAGCGGTTAGCCCTCAGCCAAATAAAGTTATGAATCTAACCCTACGGGTTACTGTACAGCACACAGCACACACACACAACACATAGCACACACACAACACACGCACACTACACTCAGCACACAGCACACACAGCACACACACACCACACAGCACACAGCACACACACTCACACACACAGCTCACAGCATACACACAGCGCACACACACACTACACAGCACACTATACAGCACACACACTACACAGCACTACAGCACACTACACAGCACACAACACACAACACACTACAGCACACAACACACTACAACACAACAGACAACACACTACACAGCACTACAGCACAACACACACCACACAGCACACACACAGCACACACACACTACACACACTACACAGCACACACAACACACACACACTACACAGCACACAGTTTGACAGTCACTCACACACACAGCTCACATCACACACACAGCACACACACTACACAGCACACACACACACACACTACACAGCACACAACACAGCACATTACACAGCACACAGTACACTACACACTACACAGCACACAGCACACTACACAGCACACAACACACTACACTACACAGCACACAGCACACAGCAGTGAGCACACAGCGTCGCTGAGTATTGAGTCAACACCGCACCTACACACTCATACACATTATATGTGTGTGTGTGTGAACCGGTCTCAGCGCAGTCTTCACTGTGTTCTTATTTGTGTGCCATGCTTTTCTTTGTTGGATTGCCTTTGCGCGGTGCTCCTTTCCTCTTCGACGACCCCGCTGGAGTGTCACCGCCTTTGCGTGCTGCCGCTGTCTTCTCAGACACCCCCCTCCCCGCCTGCGTTTCCCTATTGACCTTCCTTGCAGCATTCATCTGCCGTAGCTTTTCCGCTCTCTTATGCTCGTCGATAATGCCTTCATATTTATATTCCCAGCGAGCCTTGGCCAAGTTATCAACCAGCCTCAGGTCCTTCAGCAGGATCGTCACCCTCTTGCAGTGGATAGCAATGATGTTTGTTTTCTCGAAATGGTTGATGAGATATGCTTCGGCCGCTTCTAGCAATGCACGTATGGTGTTTATCTGAAACCTGATAGATTGTCCTGGTGCGATTTCTTTCTCAACAATCTCGCACACGACCCTTATGAACGGCCTCAAAGCGATGCACAAGTGAGTGGATTGCTGGAGTTGCCGAATTTCTGCCAATGCTGCCATCCCTGCGCGGCGCCTGCGCTTTTGAACCGGGGCAGCAACTGCTTTGGAAGTCAGGCCTTGATCTGGGACATCTTTTTGTTTTCCTTTTGCTTTTGTTGAACTCCCAGGTCCACGAGGCGGCCTAGATGTGCACTGCTTCTTCTTCTTCTCTGCCCTCCCTCTCACGTGCTCCGCAGTGGTGTCACCATCGTCGGGTTGTGCATTAGAACATCCCCCATCATTTGTTGTTTTTGGGCCATCGACCTAACTTGGCAAATGTGAAATGTCCTGCTGCTGCTCTATTGTTGGTTGTCCATTCGATGCAGCACGAGCGTCGTCATCACCCACGTATTGAATGTGTCGCAGCAGTCCGTCTATGTAGGTGAGTTGGAAAGGGACACCCAGAGGGTCTCTGAATCTCATGCACATCTGTTCACCATGGTCATATGTCATGGGACAGACGACAGGGACCCACCCAAGAAGTGATGTGCACCCATGTCTGCGTCGAACGGCCTCCAGAAACATTCTATCTGTCGAGGGCCGCGCTTGCTCGGTGCACGAGTCTTCCACGATCGACCACATCGCCTGGTCATTATGGGAGTCATATCCCATGCACACCATCTGTCGTTCTTCCTCCCTTATCTTCTCCCAGCAACGCTGCGTGTGTTCCTCCAGCAATCCCCGGTCCTTCACATGAGGATTGCAAATGGAGACACGTGTCACCACCAAGAACTGCCAATGCTCCACAACGCCAGCATGCATCCAACCCAAAGGCAGCCACTCACCAGATTGCATTCTTGCTGCCAGTGTCACTTTGCCATCAACAACTGCTGGATGCAAAGAGCCAGGTACTACCCAATTTACATGGTACCCGTACATGTCACGACCCACATGCTGGTACAACTGCCCTTCTTGAATCACATGGGCCGCAATGTTACTGGTTGCAACCACATCCTTCCGCATTGCCACATGGTCCCATACGTCCATACAGATGCCATCAAATGTGGCTTCTTTCCCCCTTACGTGGACATATGTGATGCTCTTCTCACCACCAAACACCGTTCCTTCAGCCAGGGCCAACTCGACAGGATTGCCAAGTGGCGGGTCGAAGATGTGTGCATCGCGTGGCCGGAANCACGATCGACCACATCGCCTGGTCATTATGGGAGTCATATCCCATGCACACCATCTGTCGTTCTTCCTCCCTTATCTTCTCCCAGCAACGCTGCGTGTGTTCCTCCAGCAATCCCCGGTCCTTCACATGAGGATTGCAAATGGAGACACGTGTCACCACCAAGAACTGCCAATGCTCCACAACGCCAGCATGCATCCAACCCAAAGGCAGCCACTCACCAGATTGCATTCTTGCTGCCAGTGTCACTTTGCCATCAACAACTGCTGGATGCAAAGAGCCAGGTACTACCCAATTTACATGGTACCCGTACATGTCACGACCCACATGCTGGTACAACTGCCCTTCTTGAATCACATGGGCCGCAATGTTACTGGTTGCAACCACATCCTTCCGCATTGCCACATGGTCCCATACGTCCATACAGATGCCATCAAATGTGGCTTCTTTCCCCCTTACGTGGACATATGTGATGCTCTTCTCACCACCAAACACCGTTCCTTCAGCCAGGGCCAACTCGACAGGATTGCCAAGTGGCGGGTCGAAGATGTGTGCATCGCGTGGCCGGAATGTCACCGCCTCCTTTTCGTCTGCAGTCGCTTCTCTGTCTAAATAACGGAAGGAAAACATGCCGTTCACGTAATGCGCGCTCCACACATTGCCCATCATATCACGCACTTGCATCTTAACACGGCCGTATCCAAATGGGATTGCAGATGGCACCCAACCCCACCGAGGATCCCTTCTTGCGTCGTCCTGGCTGACTGGCGTCCCCCCCCTGCGTTGCTGGCCACCCAACACCCACTGCTATCCGCAGTCAAAGTTGTCATTTAGGAAATCGTTTAGCCACAACTCACCCTTTGCCTGTAGAACACGGTACATCTCCATTGCGTATCGGCAAGCATCGTGGGTCGGTGCCCCATCATTCAGCCTCAACACTCTTTCATAGATAAATGACAGACATACGTTACGCCATGTCTCTTTCTTTGGGGCAGGAACAGCAACCCACTGATCAGCAACCTTGAAAGCAAAGCAATGCACACCTCCAACGATACCTGGCTGAACACGACCTGGCACCCAATTCACATCGTACGGGTATCTATCTCCTGCCATTGTCTTTGTCACATTTGCATCTGTGACAATGCATCCTATGTGAGGACCCTCGCTGCCAACATCTTCCTCGTTTCTCTCTCCACCAACCTTCTCTATCTCAACGTTGTTCCCTCGTGCACCACTATCGTTGTCATCCACGTCAGCAAGCATCTGCTCAGTTTCCATATAAATTGTGGCGAACACCTCTTCACATGCAGAAGTTGTTGTGCCCCCGCCGCTGGAAAGAAGAAGAACTGTCATTTCGTTGACCTCACTTCCAGGCGAAAGACCACTAACAATGACTTCTGTTTCCATGATGTTGGTCTCTCCAGCATTGGTGGCTGTTGCAATGGCGGGTTCCATCTAAATAATTACACAGTACATAAGGTCGTGAGTCAACGTCGCTGAGAAAATGTTTCCACAAGAGAGAGAGAGAGAGAGAGAGAGAGAGAGAGAGAGAGAGAGAGAGAGAGAGAGAGAGGKTGGCTACTGCGGGCCAGAACGACGTTATTGAGTAACGTTTAAACGTATTATGGCACGCAGTAGTCAACCAACTCATTCGTAGGCTGAGAAAGTGGTTGAATGGGCGAACCTGGCAACAAGAACATAAGGACATTACAACAGAGACTTCATACATGCATACATATAAGCATATAAGAGAGAGAGAGAGAGAGAGAGAGAGAGAGAGAGAGAGAGAGAGAGAGAGAGAGAGAGAGAGAGAGAGAG